ATACTGCATTGGGAGTAATAGGCATAAGTAAGTATGTATGCATTATACGATTTAACCCCTAAGTTGAATTCTTATTTGTGAATATGCTTTGATTAATATAGTACCCTACTGTATAAGATACTATTGGTAAATACTCCTACAAATCAAACAATAGATTCCTTCATTAATTTAAATAGTTCTAATTCAAATATAAAGTTTATTGGCATCAGATAGTCTGAAAAATGTCTAAATAAAAAAAGCATGAAAAATAAAATCATGTAACAAATAACATGACACGAAATTTAAATAATTTTTATAAGCTAATGAACCAACCATTCAAATCATCTTGGAATTCTTCACTTATTCTATAATTGTTATTTCTATTGTGTCAGTGAAAAACTTGGATTAATATATGAATATTTCTATTTATAGAAACAGTCCAAGAGTTATCTTGAACTTGGAGATCGTACTTCTAGGGATCAGTCCTATAGTTCGTATCACCAGGGCGTCAAACAAACCTGACCCTGGCCAACCAATCACTACAAGAGATTGTGTACATCGGGGGAGGGGAGAAATATTCTATGTTTCATAAAATCTTTATATGAAATGTCATATTGAAATAAACTCAGCAACTGTATTCAGCTGTTGCTAGTTTTTGATAGATTGTTATAAGACTTTATAAGAATTTTGTGTAACAAAATGCAAGCAAATACATCAGGTATTAAAAAAATATTTTTTATAAATTTCCAGTAAAAACATTAATTGTACATCAAAAAAGTAATTCGAATTAAAACCTTCCAGCTGTTTATCTTTTAAAGACATGGTTACAAGTGGATTTCCTTACGCCATAGTTACTCATTTTCATATAATATAACGATAGTTTGTGTTTTTTTCAACCATTCGTCCCTTGTCTGCAAAAAAAGTGAATTTTATTCATCAAATCTGTTTTCCCTAAATAAAAAGGCAATAAAGTAGAACATGAAAATTTGGAATGTATGGAATGCAAAATGTATGTGTGCATGAAAATGTGAGTGTATACATGAGTATGTCAATTTTTTTTATAAAAAAAAGGGATATATAGCTTTTCAGTACCTTACAAGATGGTTTCTAGCATTTTTATCGTTATCTTTTGAAGAAAAACAAACAATTCCTAAAAGGCAACTATACAGAGAGGAAATTTAAATAAGCAAGCTTTTTTTCAAAAGCAGTGATTTACTTAATTTAAATACAAGATTTATTGTTAAAAGAAAAGAAAATATATTGAATTCAAACTATCGAGTTGCATTTGTAGCAGGTTATTGTAGGGTAGTTGGTTCGAAAACACTGACTTTATGAAAGATGTTTACCGTTTGGAAAAATATCATGTTTCTGTATTAATTACTTTTAGGTTTTTATATATCCATGGTGATTTTGTTGTATTCTTGGTAGCCATGCCCACTTGTCTATTCTACATAACGCACATATATTTGATTATCAGAGTTCAGGAAATGCCATGAGTGGAGAACTGGTTCTTAAATCATTCTAACATTACATTACAAATATAATAACTGAAAATGTAATTTTAATAGTTGAGATCATGAATAAATTGAATCTATACCATCATCGAAAACCTGGAAGCACTGGACGGCCGTTTCGTCCCATCATGGGACTCCTCAACTATTAAAATTACTATAATATCCACAAAATCCCTTCTGATAACTCAAAATGTCCAAAAATCAACAACAAGAAACATATTAGACGATATAAAGGTATATATCAGAAATGCTGTGGATAGATACATGGTTGTTTTTTCCTTATTACTGAAGACTCAAATAACAGCGACGTAATTTATTAACAAAATGAAAATATCCGAAAAAATAAAAAATAAATCAAGCAATGATGGAGATCACAAATTAAGACTCATTGATTTGAGGACTGTTTAACCGTTACTTATAGTTTATTATGTTTTTAAATCTTGCCAATGAAATAATAAAAGTAGCTTATGTAAAACAATGGGTACTAAGGCAATAAACATGCAGTTTTAACAAATATCATTGAATTTATAATTAGATTTGGATAAAAATACATTAGCTTTTAATATGCAGTGAATTAAAGTTACGCTTTTCCAAGAAGTTTACAATCGTCTGTGTCACTTTTTTTTCTGAAATTCGTTCGATGGACCCAGTACGCGGACGATGATAGTCTTCTATTTAAATCCCGTAAGCTGAGGATAAATATTACCCATGTTAGCCAGTTTATTCTCATAGCTAGCATTCTTTAGCGCCACTGAGTTAAGAATGTTCTAGTCTTAAAGTTGAACATCGAATTAAATAAACCGAAAACTCCACAGTAAAGATTTACGTTACTGGTGAGTATTCGATAGCAGTCAAACTAAACAGATATAGTTATTCGTTTGCGTATCAAATACGAATGATGAACCCAGGGAACGTACTTAAAATGATACTATTTTCTACTTTGATTTGAATTTTTTACATAATGACGGGTAAACTGATTTATGCTCAATGAGTCATCACATCTAACTAACTGTATATTTATCGGCTTACCTGTATCTGAAACACTAGGCTTGTAAATAATCAATTTATACCATTACTCTGTATAATTTAAGAGTATTTGAAGAGAAGGTAAGCATTACATAACAATGAAGATCTGTTATATCTTTTTTTTATCAGTATTATGATCGGAATATACATTTCTAAGTTCTTTGATATCGTCTATTTTATAAGTTCAAAGCCTTAGTGAATTACATTCTTCTAATATAGTTATGCATAAAAACGTGGCTAATTTTATCCACTTAGCCACAATAAGCATGAAGTCATCACCCTTTTTATAAACACACAAATAAATCCTCTCATTTCTCATTTATTTTCTTCAATCACCGTTAGTGATTATCATTTATATTACACAACCTTTATATTAGCCCATTAAAGTCATTAATCTGATAGTTAGTATCCCCCTCTTAGCCCCCAAATGCCCTGGTACGGCCGAGAGTGGGGAGAGTCTGCTCTCCCTCTCGAAATGCTCTCATATGGCCACGCGAATATATAGCCTCTGTCAGGGAAGTCCTACTCACTGTCTTCTCGTGGCGGGGGTGTTGTTTACGAAAGTGAGAGGACGAAAAGCGAATGTCCGGCGCTTTAACCGGGTTGGTAGATGTTGAGGATCCACCTAGGGGAGTTGGAAAGCCCTGGTTCCAAACCAATTGTGCACATGGGCTCCAGTATCCTGATGGAACGAATGGCGTATGAACCAACTGTTGGTCACCGGCTACCATGGGACAGCATCTCCTTACGATGCTCCACTGCCTTGTGGATCAGATCTTTAGGTCAAAAGCTCCGGGTGTGGCCCCCTAAGAAAACCACCTGCATCAGTCTGGGCACCTGGGCAGTATCACAGCCCTCACACAAATCGAATGAGATTTGTGAGGCGCATATTTATCTGGTGTTTCCTTGTACCAATATTTATGTGTTTAAATAAATAAAATAAAATAATCTTTAATAACCTGCTTAAATAACTAAATATTGTAGAAGAGTCTTGACCATAACGCATAACATTGATATTTTCATACCTAAAGTGTCTAAATTAATGCTTGTATACTAAATTACAGCTTTCGAAAACCTACTCTTAAAAAACAATCCTTAAGTGGAAGAGGTACTTTTTCGAAATTTTTTATCATAATTAGTGTCATATAATAAAATATACTTGCACCAATCGAATCACACTTGACGGAGAAGTTTTGGAGGATGTGAAAACCTTTACATATCTGGGCAGTATGATTGATGAACACAGTGGATCTGATACAGATGTAAAGACGTGGATCAACAAAGCAAGAACAACATATTAACGACTGAAAAACATTTGGAACTCAAAACAACAACTCAAAAACCAACACCAAGGTCAGAATTTTCAAAACAAACGTCAAGACAGTTCTATTGTATGAGGCAGAAACCTGGAGAACTACGAAAACCATCATCCAAAAGATACAAGTGTTTATTAACAGTTGTCTACGCGAGATACTTCGGATCCGTTGGCCAGACACTATCAGCAACATTCTACTGTGAGAGACAAAAAACCAGATTTCTGCGGAGGAAGTAATCAGGAAGAGGCTCTAGAAGTGGATAGGACAAATATTGAGGAAATCACCCAACTGCTTCACAATGCAAGCCCTCACTTGAAATCCTGAAGGTCAAAGTAGAAGAAGAAGACCATAGAACACATTACGCTGAGAAATGAAGATAGACATGAGATGAATGAACTAAAATTGGATAGAACTAGGAATGAAGGCCCAGGACAAAGTGGGTTCCCAAATGCTGGTCGGCGGCCTTTGCTCCATTGGGAGTAACAGGCGTAAGTACGTAGTAAAATATACTGAAATATGCGAACAGAAAATGAGAGTACATTCGTGTTTTGCCTTCAAAGTACATTTGGCCAAATCAAAATAGCACATTACTTCAGCAAATTCCTTTAATACTTAAACATTCAGACAAACTCTTATGATTCAAAATTGTTTTCTTTAACATTTTCTTAACTTGAACAGTCGTTAAAAGTCAATCGAGTGTTGTTTATGGATGAGATCATGAGTCAATTGAAGCTAGACCACCATCGAAAACTTAGAAGCACTGGACGGCTGTTTCATCTTATTGTGGGACTCCTCAGCAGTGCGCATCCACGATCCCGCCTGGCGAGATTCAAACCCAGGACCTACCAGTCTCGCGTCAGAGCGCTTAACCACTAGACCACTGAGCCGGCATCCGACGGTGTTAATGTTAAAGTTGTTATTGTTTAGTAAAAGTTATAGCATAAAACTTTTTTTTTAAAAACTAACAAAATCTGCTAGTAGGATTTTATCAAAATATTTAATTTAAACACTAAATTAAGTATTTACCCATATAACTGATAGTAATATACTTGACAAGTCGTTTTTTTCGTTTGAGTACTGAATAGTTGATTATTGTCAATTAAAAGACATTACCAGTATATTTAGCTGAATTTCAGTAATATTCAACTTCTATACTATTGGAAGTTTTCTTAATGTTGAACTGAAAATTCCCATCTTAAAAAAATTGTGTACTTTAACTTTTTCACCATGTGACCTTATTTATCTGAGTTTATTCTCCATGAGTATTTAAACTACATCCTCAGTTGATTGTACAAGTTCAAATTTATTACTAATTAAACACTATTTTGTTGGTCAAGTCAAAAGCTAATGAGTATTAAGAACCTTCAAGAACAGTTATCTCTTAAAAATGTTAAACACTTTCAATACATTGATAACTTAATATCATGGTTTTGTACTATTTCTTCTTTTCTATAGAATAAAATGACAATAATGTACAACGGTTGGATATGGAGAAAATATAATTCCCTTATATTTATTGTATTACTTACAGAAATTTATATATATTTATGCAAATATTATTATCCAGATTTATTGTATATCAATTTTCTAAATGGAGTTAATGGTCAATTAAATCTTTGGGTAGATCGTCAATTAGTTATACAGATTATTGAATCAATGCCAAATAATCAAAATATCCCAAGTAAATTACGTTGTCCAAGAAGACTACCTGAAATTCATAGACATAGTAAGTTATATTCATATATTTTTGATCTGCTTAAATGTTTTTTTTTTCATCAAACCTATAAAAGTGTAAAATATTTAAAAATAAGCTGACTGTGAAAATCTTTGATAGTCTCATATCGACACTTACTTACTTACACCTGTTACCCCTCGTGGAGGGACATAGGCCGCCCACCAGCATTCTCCACCCAACTCTGTCCTGGGCAATCATTTCCAGTTGTTATTCATCTTTTTCATATATGCTTATTCCTTCAACTCCCAGGGCAGAGTTTAAATGATCTGAATTATTTTTTCTGGTTAGCGTTCTTTTAGCGATTTAGTTTTTCTACAGGATGGGGTCGCTAATCCCATACCCAACCCTCCTCCCTTACCGGGCCTTGGGACCGGCAGTAGCTCTAAAAGAGCTGCAGGCGGAGTTTCATATAGACACTACATATTTATAATTAATAGTAAATTCCAGCAAAACTATGATTTGATTTTGCTGTCAAAGAGCTATTAACAATACATAAACAGAATCTGAGTTTTGTTCACCAACAAAGAATTGATGAGTTCGAGTCTCAGGGTTACCACTTGACTAGCTACATATGCGCATTATGGATCCCACTGTTAGCAACTATCCTAAATAAAGTATGCTCATTAAGATTGTTAACCACATGAGATCTAACTGATCAATGGTTCATTTTTTCAATTTAAATAACATACTCGAGGATATTATGAGGTTGAGTTGTGTAAATTTAAAATAAATCATTCAAATTTTATTTACGAAAACTGAACAACAAGAAACTGACAAGATAATTCATTTATAGAATTGAAGTTTCAAGAATTAATTCTTTACATTTGATTTATAATGTGAGATCCTTACTGCTTATTGTTCATTTTTACATCTAAAACTAATGTGACTAAAGCCGGAAATTATTTTTCCCACGTTCATCACTATTATTGTAGAGTGTATGTCTTCATTATTCGACCAGATCCATTTTATTTGGTGTGGTTTACAAAAACAGTTAACTCACTAACCCACTTCAAGCTATAAAATATAATCCAGTTGGCGACTATAAGTTATTGACAACAAAACTCAGTGAATCAGTGTACAGCTTCACTAAGAAGTTTTTCAAAGCTATGGTTGAAGGAACAGATGTTACACAAACTGATCAGTCATTCGAAAGTTAGTATTCTCAAATCGAATGTGAACCACCTTCTTAACCATCTCAATAATATTCTCGCCATAGTTACAAAAGCAACTTGGATCACTTATGGTGGACGTGTTAGAAGACTATGGGCTAAAATTACACAGGACTCACATTTCGAGATTTCGTCAGTTTTTGTAAACAAGTGTATTCGTTTACTTTTTGAAAGTTCGCTCTTTGAACACTATGGTAATACGATACCGTCGTCTACTTATTGATTTTTATTTACAAAGTACCCGAACATTTGTTCCTTGTTTTCAATGGACTACTTTTACACGAAGCACTGGATCGCATTTCATTATCTGCCCATAGACCTATCCCTCCACGCATTGATATGTTGCGCGTTAAGTGGAGAGCTGGTTTTGAACGTGTAAGTAATTTAAATCCTACATTTTGTAAATCTGACGGCGATATTTAAACTACGTATGTAGACTTGTGTAAAACAGAGATCGCTAAATATGGCCTACCCACCCATTAGTTAAAGTCACCCACTATGTGTACATAACTTAACGCGTTGGAATTGCGTTATTTTCTTTTCCCACTACTATCAAATGGATGTCATCGTATTTTCGTGTTTTGTCGATATCTTACTGGCGATTTGTTTACCATACCGTATTATAGATTGCTTTACAGTCAGTTATTCCTGCCTTCTCCTAGCTTATATGTTCTACGTTTGGGATATAATGCACTGTCATATAAAACGATTCCAACAAGTAGACTTCCTAAGTCTGACCACAAATATGTCCTCACCTGAATTCTCAAATAATCTTCTAGCTGAAAACCCTCAAAAACTTGTAGCAAGTATATGACATACTTCAATTTCTTAAATATGTTGAAAAGATGTGGGGTTTTCTAAATAAATTGAGTAAGAACGCTAAAATGTTGGGAATGCATTGAACTTTTTTCAAATGTAAAATATTACCCGAAGACCATTTCACGTTAAAATCTTATTTTGATTTTCGTGAGTGAAGTAGTTGACTGTTTTGATCACTCGATTTTCTATACTCTTATCGTAACATCTGGCGAGATTTCAGCCTGTATAGAAAAAACCAGTCTAAGTCATCTGTGTCCCATACTGTATTTCGATTTGGTCATCTGAAAGTAAGTATCCTGCTCAGAAGCCTTCTCTGTATTACTCCATGGTCACGGAAGAGAAACTTTAAAGGTACTCCATACGTGTCTACTGGTATGTATATTCGAGGCACTCTTCATGAATCCTGGAATTACCGGATGAAATAATTCAGAAGAATATTAACGAGATATCGGTTGATATAATTGTGAAAATTTAACTGCTCCAATGGTTAAAAAAGGGCCTTAAGCGAATTTCTTAACCTCCCCACCCCAACATGCTATTCTGACTAAAATGGAAGTTAATTGAAAGAGAATCAAAATTGATTACGCCAGAAAAACACCAGTTTATTAAGTGATTCAATGATGATAAGAACTATGCAGGAATGTCCAAACAACTCGTTTGCAGTTCATATGATAATTATGATTAATAGTTGAAGCATATAACTAATATAGATGAAAATCAGTCATACTGGATCAGCTAAATTGATTTTTTATTCCCTCCTAATTTTGACTACAGTATTACCGCTTAAATTCTATTTTTTTTTATTACATCTACCTCGACTATATCGCTAACATTTTTTTCTTTTATTCTCTCACTACTATGCGCATTATTATTTTCACATCACTTCATTTTATCACTAGTTGCCAACAGATTTTATTCAAACTAAGCTTCATATAAATTCATTTAGTATTGTTTGTTTGAATCTTCCCATCGATGTGTTAGGACTGCAACTGGTCAGTCCCTAATTGGCATATGTGCATACTGTGTGTATTGCCCCGATATAGCCTTAATTGACAAGCATGGTAAGCAAGCAAGTGGCTCAATGGCTGAGTGGATAACGCGATGGCGTTTGAAGCGAAAGGTACTGGGTTCGAGTCCCAGGGTGAACATCAACTCTGAGGTGCAGGTACATACGGCCGACGAGTCCTAAGTAGGACGAAACGCGCGTCCTGGATTCTAATGCTAACCAATATCCATCTCTGCTTACTAAGCTTCATATAATTACTCATTACCTTTAAGATAATCTCAGTATTGCCGAATCTATTCAACAGAAATATTGTTTCTTTTTGTGATAAAATTACATGAAAATGAAAAAATTCAGCTATTCTCATTATTTGTTTGGTAATATTACTTAAAAAAAACGAACAAACAATATTTTATTACAATATTAACAGGTGCAGCATTTCAGTACAGTAAATTTTCTAAAACACATAAAATTATGAATTTATATTGTTAAACTAAAAAGAAAGTTGTTTTAATAATACGTGGTGTATTTAAACTGTTGGCCTTCAAATGCCCTAGTACGACCGAAAGTGGGGAGAGTTAGCTCTCCTTCTGAAAATGCTCTCACATGGCCACGTACACACAACAACCAGCAGGGAAGCCCTACTCACTGACTTCTCGTGGCACTAGTGTTGTTTACGAAATTGAGAGGACAAAAAGCGAATGTCCGGCGCTTTAACCGGGTTGGTGGATGTTGAGGATCCACCTAGGGGAGTTGGAAAACCCTGATTCCAAACCAATGGTGCACATGAGCTCCAGTATCCTGATGAAACGAATGGCGAATGAACCTGTTGTTGGTCAACGGCTACTACGGGACTGCATCTCCTTACTATGCACCACTGCCTTGTGGATTAGACCTCTAGGTCAAAGGCTCGGGGTGTGGCCCCCTAAGAAAACCACCTGCTTCGGTTTGGGCACCAGGATAGTATCCCAGCTCTCACACAAATCGAATGATTTATGTGGCGCATATCTATTTGGTGCTTCCTTGTACCTATGCTTATGTGTTTAAATAATAATAATTTAAACTGATATAAACGCTCAATAAAAATAATGACCATTTTTAAAATAATTTTGTAAGAGTAATCCTATCTACTATTTATTACATTGGAATTTTAATGTCGGTCATAAGTTTAACATGCTTTTTATTTATTTATTCATAGTTAACTTACAATATTGATTTGAAGTCAATGAACCATACACTTCTGCATACCCCACTTCTAAATATTGCCAAGTCTGGTTATATACCAGCTACTCAGTCAGGTAATTTAAGTTTTTAAACACAAAATGAATCGTTTCAATGTTTTTAGAGACAACTTAATCACAAAAGTTTGATTGTTTAATGTATTCTGAACCTTTACTTTAAATGATGACCAATATATTTGATGATTCTGTTATTGTACTCATAACATATTTGTTCATTTATATTTGGCTAGTGAAATAGATTTAGCAACCATATAAGCATACTACGTTTTTTTCTCGGAAATGAATTTTAATGTGCTTCACACAAAACTACTTATTATGAAAGAATTATTGTCTGTGACTTGATCATCAAATCCTATTTTTAAAACAAGGGAAAAACTAACCAACAAAGATTGTTGTGTATATCTCCTTCAAATAACAAACTGGGTGAAAACACCTGGATCCTGACGACATTTAGACGAGTGGTCCTTATAAAAAATGAAGAGATCTTATTTCATTTCATTTATGTATACAAATGGAAGCTGGTATGTGTGAAGGGTAATTTTTTGATGGACTAATTTTCATGGCTGTACATCCATGAATACATAGTTCGAAGTTAGGTCCCAGAACTCAGGAGTTAAAGAAATGATACCAGTGAATGTAGAACGAAGAAAATGAGATGGATATTTAACTCATTCACTATCAAAGTAATGAGTGATAGCACGTAGATCAATGGGCCTCATAACCAAATATTAAGAAATAAAACAAATCAACCCAAAAATTTATTCCCAAAAATCATTTATGAATATTCAAAACTTGACTACTGTTAAGCAGAATCTAGAATCGTATCCTTTAAATTATGGGATCCGAAAAAAATATAATGATTGCACTATTAAATGGAAACTTAAAACCTTTAGATGAATCTTACAAACCAACAGACACCTAGCTAAATTTACTTATCAAGCAACAAATGATACGAATGCAATAGAGCCTCCCAATTCCAAGCCTGTGGAAAATCTGCAAGTGAAAACATTCTTTGCAAACGTCTGCAGAGATAACCAAGCAAAACATTCTATGCTGTAAGTCTCCAAACTTCGATCTCCTACCAACAGACATCAATAAATGGTAGATAAACAGGAGCACTTTAATGTGCATTTACACATCTACTTAATTCTGTGAAGTTTAATAGGTTGTATCTCCCTGCCACTTGTGTCCGGAAACAATCCTGTATGGGTGACAATACATTCTAATTAATTATTTTCAGATTGACTATTAAACACCATAAGAACTCAGGAAATTCTGATTACATTGACAAATTATACAGTGCTTCATGTAATTCGATGAAATTGTTTAGGGAAACCCGAACTGAGATGTTTATGCACTGCAAAGTGGGAACTTTTCCCCATGACCTCAGGGTAAAATAAGTACATTAAAATAAATCTTTCTCTGAAATACCTCATTTAAAGATATTTTATGGCTACATAGTTCAGAAAATTAGTTTTATTCGATTGTAAGTTCTCAATGTAAACTAATTAGCAAAAATATTAATGTATTGAAATGTATTTCTAAACTGGTACCTCGAATATTCTTACTTTAAGTACTTACTAATTAGTTAATGATCATTTTCAGTTATAAACACAAAATTAAGCAAGTTATAGAAGTATATCTTCATAAGATTATTATTATTAGCTTTATTCAATATTATATTTTTGGTACAATATAGAATTCTCAGCCCAAAGTACTTCAACAAGTTTCCGTTTCGTACTTCTTCGTCCTTCCTGATGATAAATATTGAGTGATCACCAGTTCGAAGTTAGCAGCCCAGTCAATCGAAATCTGGATAATGTACATTCTTCTCGCTGCATATTGCCAGAAACCACGATATCTCTGATTAAGCCTTCTGTAACCTTTACAGAGAAAGGTCTTACACTTTTCAGAAACACACCTGAATAGTTTGTGCGATTAATAGGCATAATGATGTATTAAAGCAAACGAAATCAGATAACTTGTTGAAATATCTAGATGACAGGAACAGGTAGCCCAGATGTTTAAACAGGCCGCCAATGTTCACACACAAAAAATTATGCTACGTTTCAGAAATATAACAAACAACGATATAATATAACAATTAATTGTTCATTATAAAATAATTTTAAATTTCATTGTCAGTAAATTTATCTCTACTGATTTCCAGATGTACAAATTTCCCTACCATGTACTGGAAGATTTACTGGTATAGCTCCGTTTCAAGTGAGACTAGATGTTCAAAGAGAATTTGAAGGTTTAAGGAAAATTCCACCAATTTCATTTATCGTATACAAATACTGTCTTAGTGCATGTGAGTTAAGAAATAATATTTTTGATTTTATTTCAGATTAATCGATAACAATTCTGGAAACACCCTATTATACTAAGACATTTAGTAAAATAATGAACTTAGTTGTTTGATGGTTTACCTGTTAAGTGATATGAAGCAGTAGGTGGGAAGCCATATATTAAGGTGTTGTGCAGGTAACCACTGTTTACAGCTGTTATTAAATGCATAGATTTAACATCATTAGAATGGTTATTTGAAATATCCATCATAACCCACAAAAAGCTTAGAATGACTGTTCAGTATTCAAAGAGAATTAAACATCATCAGTTGAGATGGCTGGGACACGTGTTACGTATGCCCAACCACCGACTGCCCCGACGTGCAATGTTTCATGGTGTAGGCATAGGTTGGAAGAAAGCTAGGGGCGGCCAGACCAAAACGTGGCGCAAATCCATGAAGTCACTGACAATTGGACTGAGCCATGTTGGTAGGTGCAGACTACCTGGTTGGGATTCGCGAGATGATAGCAATCGATGGTTAGAGAGCTTGAATGACATGGCTCAAAATCGTTTGCAAAGGCGCAAATGTTCTACCAAATTCTAATCTTCTGAATGCTTCATGTTCCTATCCTTTTTCTCTTTTCAAATTTGTTACACTGAATTATACTCCTTAAATAACATCTTCAAACCCTAATCTTTCCGATTAATGCTTATACTCTTACTACTTCTACCACTATGTGATTTGAATCGACAACTGAATCTCTGCGCTAATGTGGTATGGCAACTCGGACTGATGTACGTACGTACGAAGTTCTACGTTGTGACTGACTGAAGATATATTTACAAAACAACGTAACATTACTTTTATTCAATAATATTCAATAAATTACTGCTAAATTATCATTAGTTAGATAGTATACAATGATCATAAATAGTGAATACCATTGATATAAATAGTTCGTGCAAAAGAGCAACTTATAACATGTGGATTGATCAGAAAGTTATGTACTCAAACTCGACAGTTAATATAACCTTGCTAATGAACGATAAGGTCAGTAATTAAAAGAATATCTCTTTTGCAATAATTAGTAGGTAAAATCATTTCAAATAATAAACCACCAGAATACTAGTGAGAAAAAAATCTTAAAAGCATGGCATTTCTAGTAGTGATGATCAGACGTTAGTTTATCATGCTGATAGCAAAATTAATGTAAGACTTTAAACATCTACTCAGGTTAATACAATTGGAGACAAAAAAGAAAATGTTTTTTTAGAAAAAAAACGGGGAAAAAGGCTATACAAGCAGATACATTAATCACAAAGAGGAAAGGTAAAATCCCGAAGCCACTTGTATAATTGCAACTAACTGCTAGTTATATACCACTCAAGAACATAATCAAACAACCTCGATCAATATAATTTCGTTACAACATAGAAAAACTCATTCTTTTTACTCAGACCTATATGGTTAACTTCAAAAAAATCATTTTTAGCTTTAACAAAATGTTGACAATGTCTCCAATATATACTTAACGTAGACATATTTTGCAACTCTAACAACTACTCCTCAGATGCAGAATATTATGAAACAAAAGAAATGGATTCATACAATGTGTAATGTTATTTTAAAAGTATGAAGACCTAGGAATTAGTGATAGAGAACCACTTCAGAAACATCTGCAAAATATTGACTAGACTATGAATGAAAGTAAATACAAAAAATACAAGCACCCACGCAAGTGAACTGCTAGTTAAGAGTATCGAGACAACCATTTGTCATGTTCAAGCTATTGGTAAATTTGTTTACGAACAAAAACACTAATTTGAGAGAACGCTTCTTTAATACAACTGATGATTATCTTATTTTTGCTGATATTTTCTCTGGATTTCATTTCCATCGACCATTTTGTGTACAACACTGTATTTAAACAAACATATAATAACGCAAAGTAATTATAATATTCTATCCTCTTCCCTCTCAATTAGCTCAACACACACGATTCATTATCAAATGCGAATGTCGCGCTCAATGCTTACAATCAAACACATACAACCACCGACATTCAATTCGAAAGCGTTGTATCCGACGTTGTAGAAAACGTTTTGAACTAAATAATCCAAACCCGAAACAGATTAAATGAACACCAATATTCGGAGGACAAAGATGAAGAGATTGTTGAAAACTAGTTTTCCATTTTGACAGTTACCAACGTTACATGATAAATTTTCAAAGGATAAATTCTTTAAAACTGCTGAACATTTAAGTGCTTCTGAAAAACCTAACGTAATCAAATTCCTCTTCTCCATAAATTGGAAATTAAAGCTATCAAGATTTAATTTAGATAGCATTATACCTGAGCCATATACAGTGTATCTGAAACACAAATCTAAAAGTGTAATTAATATTGTTCAACAGTGATATCTCAATAACTTAAATACAAGGTCTGGACATTAATTGTTATTAATTTAATTATACTACTCTTTACTAACAAATAGTATAACTGTCGTTTAACAAGTTACAGAGCAGAAGAGACGGGTATTTTTTACGTTATTTTATTTTGAGTAGAAAACAAACAGGAATACATTTGAATTTACTGATTTGGAGGACAAGAAGAGAACAATAATATGGTGCAAGCAGAATGAAGTTATGGTGAGAACAATAAACTTTTGTAAGATCCTTAACGTTTCAGAAAGTTGACTGTCACCCTAACAGTAATCTTAATTCCAAATCTAAATATTTTCATGTCGTACTCTGTAGGATTTACTAAAAAACTAAAAATTCCCAGTAACTCCTCCCAACGGACATATTTTAAAACTATTTGGTTACATAGTTCCTGGAGATTTGAGACAAAAACTATTATAAAACTCTAGGAAATTTCTGAAAATATTTAATGGCGAATAAAATAATCTACAATTGTGACTTGAAAAATCACCGTATTCAGTTAGCTTTTAGTATGCAAAAGTGAGTAATTTGAGAACCACTTCGATAATGAACTAAAAAATTGAAGAAATACCTTGCTTGTAAGTGTTGAAACAAGTAGAAAATGGCAGAATAATTACGTACAATTATCATCTACGCCATTCATATGTAAACATGGACCAACCATAGAATTTAAATAAATCCAGAACGATAACTAAAGCAGAATAATATAAATTCACTACACATTGTGATCTCATTACCTTTGAAGCGGAGTAGGAACCACATTTTCATATGAGTTATATCTTGCTTAATATTTCCACTGTCTTTGCGTGCTTAGTAATAAACTACTGCGGAAATCCATTTTTCCGTTAACAATTCCTCAAGCCTCTCCTTTGAACAAAAATCTACGAACATGGGTTGGTAAAATCGCTCGCATGGAGCATCTTACACAGGTGTTGTAGATTAGACCAAAACAGTTTTAAGTACCTTTGTGATACATCTTTTTAGCTTATTATTCGTAGCCCCGATATCTAAAAGGCGGAACTTTATTTAATAAGAAATCCAACTTCAAAATGTGGTTTAGTGAAAAGATTAGTTAAACATGTGGGATTTATTTATTTACTTAAACAAATAAATATTGGTACAAAGGGGAACCAGATATATATGCGCCACGCAAATCTCATTTGATTCGTGTGAGGGCTGTGATACTGCTCAGGTGCCCAAACCGAAGCAGGTGGTTTTCTTAAGGGACCACACCCGGAGCCTTTGACATAAAGGACTAGTTCACAAGGCAGTGGAGCATCATAAGGAGATGCAGTCCCATGGTAGCCGGTAACCAACGACTGATTCATACGCCGTTTGTTCCCTCAGGATACTGGAGCCCATGTACACCAATGGTTTGGAATAAGCATTTTCCAACTCGCTTAGGTGGACTTTCCAAGTCCACCAACCCGGTTAAAGCGCCGGACATTCGCTTTTCGTCCTCTCAATTTTGTAAATAACACCCCCGCCACGAGGAGAGTATGACTTCCAATATGATCACACGTACAAAAATGCATTACTAAGATAACTATTGTAAAATGTTGTCTTATAAATTGTGCTTCATCTTCGTCTGTTCAATATTTCTCACCAAGACAGTATCTTTCAATACGATTTAATTTGTGAGCAATAGCGTTCGTCCATGAGACATAACAACTTATGAGAAAGGAAACCAATATCGACTAGAACGAATTTTCACCGCATTAAATTGTTCGGTATGAAATATGCTCATAAAATTTTAATACATTTTTACTATGATTTCTACCATCTGACAAAAACTCAGTCCATAAATCTTGATCATTATACTTGATACACTGAGATTATCATCAAAAAGCTTCAATTACTTAGCTGATCCTCTTGACTCTAGTTAGCAGGATAAGAAAGAAGTAGATATAAGTAATGTTGTTGACTGTAATGAAGTCGGAGTTGCGTAATATTAACATAATGCACAAACATATCGTATTGTCGTTCTTATTTTATGTATGAAACATGTAATCAATCATAAACAATATATGATCAGGTACGAATCTGCTTACATTGAAGTTATCATACTACGTAAACTATTGAAAATAAAAAGCGCATTCAAATAAAAATAATATTTATCTAATAACATAATTCATATACAAAATCTTTCAAATCTCTTTTACAAAAAGAAGTATAAAAAGGTGTTAAAATGCAGGGATAGGTTTAAATGAATCTGGATTACCTTCAACTTGATCAACATTCATACATGAATTTTCTGCTTTTAAAACATGTTTTATGAAAGTCTCAAAATACTCAATTGAAGACCTTAAAGAAGTATTCTTAAATGATAATAAATGTTTATCATTGGATGAAATATTTTCATCATTATTACTACAATCATGTTCATCATTTGTTACAGAAGAAAGCTGTTCCACAAGTTCATTTAATGTTGGTACATTAAATGGATCAAGTTTATCAACTTCTTGTGGATTAAAAGGTATACATATATGACCAGTTTTCGGATGTACACAAAATGGACTCTTCAGTAAATGGTTAAGACCTATAAGGAATGATGGATAATGGAAACCCAATAAGAAAAAAACAATTAAGTGGAAAAAAATCTAAATATTAAAACTTATTTAATGTTACCTTGAATTAAAAAGTTTTTGATGGCTTTAGGTTCTCTGAGTTGATTGGTTTAATTGAGAAGTCTTTGATGTTATCCTGGACAGTATCAATAGTCCATACTTCTAGTATTAATTGGCTTATCGATTATTTCACAAGCACTATGTCAGTTCTTTCTGATGGTTGATGATGACTCATCGTATTCCCAGGTGTGATTATCTTTATCTACCCACTGTTTTTCTGTGTTGATCTCTAATCGTGCGATTCCATTTATGTCGATGTGTCGATTCGGACAGAATAGTCACTGAAATTATTGGAATTACCTCGATTCAGTATTTTGACATTTCTTCATCAAATGTAGCCCGACCGTAGCTGCTACCTTGAAGTGGTGGTCGGGCTTGCCTATCGTGATGACTCAACCCAGCTACATTGACTGGAACACATATCCCTTTGGGTCTTACCATGCCAGGCAGGTCGGTCAGAGAACGGTAAAACCAAGAAAAGCCCGATGGTGAAATCCCACTTCTGACTACAGAGGGGTGTGGCAACAGTAAGGTATTCCCTCGGACATCCAGCATCTGAGTTGATGCCTTCTTTTAAAATGGAAGGAAGGGGCTAGAAAAGATCGACCCCAAAGATATCACGCCTCATCTTACCCCATGGATTTCCGTCTCCGGTGGTAAGGCTTTCTGAAGTAGAGAGCTAAAACATCAAAATTTTCTCATAAAATTGTTGTGCGAGATCGACCTCAGACAGTTGCCCCTTGGGCTCTAGTCACGCACCCAGGTCTCTAAGACAACTACTAATTAACCTTCCTTTTCAGGCCCCTCAAGAAAAATCCTTTCACAGTGTGGGCAACCGGAAAGTAACAACCGCCCTCACACCTCTATCAGAACCGAAATCATATTGTTGACTATTACATCCCTCCCTGGTTTCTTAATAAATCTTTTATCCCTACGACTAATCCCTCTTATTTATCTTAATCACGCGTCAGCAATGCTTACGACTTGAATTCGTGAAATATTATCCCTGGTCTCCTAGAACTAAGCTCTAAAATGAACGATGGAGCTTTTAATGTCCGAAACGCACATACAGGATCCAACTATGGTCATTCATTTGAACTCACCTTGTCAATATTAAGGACCGGCGTGATTTACCCTTTGTGTATCTGGAGACCCGACTGCTAATTCCCATGGCTTCGCTGGTGTAGGTATAGCACTAAGTTCCAAAGTAGAACAGACTCTCCTAGAATGGATTTCAGTAGACAGTTGCTTGTGTGTTGTTGACTAAACAGGACGGTAGGAACTAGGAAAGATGGATACACGCGCTATTGTCTTTTCGTTGTCTCTGCCTACGCTTTCACTGATTGCAGCTCAGATAAAGTTAAAGATGAACTTCGTAATAAGCTATCCAACCTCCTTTAAAAAGCTAAACGATCTGATGTAGTAATAGTAGCAGGCGATTTTAATGTTCAATTAAGTATACTAAACCAAACTGGAAAGCACTTAGGTGGATCTGACGGTATTGTGACTCAGAGAACAGATAATGGCGATCGTCTGTTGCAACTATGCTTATACAACCGTCTATTTCTGACAAGTACCAACTCTAAACAAAATGAGAACCGTCGTCTGATGGGGAGACCTCCACAACAGACTCATCAACAGACTCAAATACATCATATTGCCTTTAACCATGGTTGGAGGGGCTCGATTGAAGACTGTCGCTCATTCTGGAGCACATTTTTTAGACTCAGACCATGCTTTAATTCGAGCCTGTATTTGTCTGCGCCTTACTGAACGTAGAAAGGCACAGAAAGAAAACCCCTTAGGGTACAACTTAATGATGGAAGAAGATGGGACTATTGTTCTTTCCCAACCCAGGAGTTCGAATCGAAGAGCAGAACACTTTAAAGAACAGTTCAACTGGCCTTTAGCCACACTTCAGTTACTGACTGTCTCCAAGCAACCTGAATGCCAAAATGATGTAAGCCCTCAAACTCTTAGTGAGGTTGAAAAAATTAATCTAAAGCAAGGAGGAGCAGAAAAGCCTGATGGACTAATCCCTGACGCTTTCGATAATAGTAGTTTAGTTTTAGCAGTTGGATTAACTGAAATCTTAGCTAAAATATGGGAACATAATCCCATCTGACTGGTCTTAATCGTCCCAATTTATAAGAAAGGACAAAAATTCTCTTGTGACAATCACGGAGGAATCAGTTTAACTAATATAGTGTCTTAAATATAAACCCCAATAATACTTCGACGTCTAAATGAAGCTTGAGAAAAGCAAACCCGAGAAAACCAGGCTGGATTCAGACCAGAACGTGGATGCATAGACTAAATATTCGCCTTTCGACAGATTCTAGAATATAGACATACTTTACGACGTCCTACTATAGTTTTATTCCTTGACTTTAAGGCAGCGTTCGACTCTGTTGGTCGTGAGATTTTACGTCACTGTCTGTCATTGAAAGGCGTACTAAAGAGGTACATTAACCTTGTACAGGCTGTCTACCCAAACCCTTCTGGTCGAGTCATAGCTTATGGTGAACTTTTAGTGACCCAGTATCTGACTCCAGTTAGATCGTTTGTTGATCGTTATCGAAATATACATGCCACTAATCCTCGTATATAATTGTCGACTTAAATCGCGTTAGCGAATAACAGAATTAAATAAGTCAAGCATGAGGATGAATCACGAATTCGTATATTTCATACGACTGTGGATCTGGACATACAATCAAGGAAACGAAGTAGAGAAAGCGGAACAAAACGAAATGACGTGCAATGGAGAAGGCAAATGAGCCAACTCGATTTAACCAAACATGGATCGATATTTATATTCACACAAAAATAATCTACAGACATGTGACGAGTAGGATAAGCAATGTACACACACATGCCCACACAAAAACAATCAAGGCTGATAAGGGAATAAGTGACAGGGTAAAAACATGGTTTGAGAAAAATGAATAGACTGGTCTGCCCAGAGGCTAGAATAACCTATGTGAGCTTGACATAGTACCAGCCCCTACAAACTATCATCGGAATTAGTTACTTCAAGCGGTGTTCGTCAGGGTCGTCTGCTTTCTCCATATTTATTTAACTTAGTCATAGATATGCTTTTGGAAACAACACTTCCATCGTCTGATTCTTTAGGCGTTGGTCATCTACCAAGATTCACTTGTTGAACAGAGTATGTATATGATATAGTTCTGTTTGATGAAGACATTGACAAAATGCAGTTTTCTGACCACTTCAAACAATATAACCACATTTGGTATGCGGTTCTCTCGACCAAATGTAAAATGTTACTTCAGGAATGGGTGATAGAGAATGAAGTAGTTAGGCGTGTCGACAGCTTCACCTATCTTAGTCCTGGTTAACTGGTGTCTGACGAAACCTCGGCATCGATCCAAAAATCCCGATTGGCTTTTGCCAACATGCGCACTTGTAGTGTAGGCGAGATATCTGTCTACCCAAAAAATGAGTTTACTGCACGGTAGTTTAACCCGTTCTACTTTGTGAGTGTGAAACATGGTTGTTACGAGTAGAGGTTACTAGTATTCGATCAGGTGTCTTAGGAGCATTGTTCGTGTACTTTGGGACCACCGAGTAAGCAGTGGCTAGGTTAGGAATAAAGCAACAGGCGAATCGGCTGGTGAGGTAGTAAATTTTCATCAACTGAGTTGGTTGGGAAGTGTTACATATGCCTACCAACCATCTACCTCGACGGCCGATGTTCCCTGGTGTAGGGGTAGGCACGAAAAGAGGTAGGAGAGTCGTACGTTCGATGGAAAATTTCTCTTAATACCACTGATACTGTTACGACCCCTGCTATTCTGGGATTGGGCCTGACATCTCTCTGTGCTAATGAGGTATGGCAACTTGAACCAATGTACATAAGTACAAGTTATACGTTGTAACTGACTGAACCAAATGTGACATACGAGAATATCGTAAAACCCATGAAAACAACTAGTCAAAAACAAGGTCATCCGAAAGGTTTGACTGAATATATGTTGAATAATCAAAAACTTCATCCCGATGATATTGCCTAGAACGACAACGAAAGCTTTCCACTTAAATCACCCAACTTAAAAAAATGCAACACTATCAAAGGTATTTACTAAGCTACAACTTCGCTCCATCATTTTACAACCAGTTTTGTTGAGGCAGAGTATATAAATCAGAACAAATAAACGTTGCTTTACGATTTCGAACCAAACATGAGTAAATTTCTGCAACGATGGGGTGGACCAGACGCCCGTTTTAGTATATATATATATATATAATGTTATTGACCTAGAATTCAAAAATATGAGAATGTAACGGCTGGAAAAGAATGACTGTTAGTTTAGATAATCTATTCTTAAAAAAGCCTAAGTATAAATGATCCACCAAGTTATACAGCCAAGCTTCTATAGTCCCAGATTCTTCACATTGAAAAGTTATTTTTGAAGTGAAATAAATAACTGCATACTGCTTAATTGTAGTTAAACTACATGGTCGAACATAAGTCAAAAAACCCAGTAGTATGGTACTTTATGGCTACCAAAGCAGCTATACAGAAAACTAACTTTTATATATGTGAAAAATGATTCAATTAGTAAGTCGTTAAGACTTATTACAACCGGTACGCTTTGGAATGATATGAATATCATTCCAATATATATTAATTTTAAGTGAAAATATACCCTACTGAAGTACTTCAGTAAGCTAGGTAAAAAATAAGGTCGCTTTGACTACGAATCTGTATGTTTAGTGAGTAAATGGTCATCTGTTCAAGCGATTGCTCCTTTTACAGTTAATAGTAAAATAAAGGATCAATGGTATTAGTGAACATGAATAAAACAATTTACTGAAACAATAAAAGCCAAGAACCTGAGTGAATAATTAAATCGTACAAATGAATGCTATTTAATGATCAGTAGAAGTGTGACAAAAAGATAGTGCATTACCATTAGTTAAAATTGTGTGGTTTGCCTACTTGAACTATTTTGCTTAGAGTATCTTAACTGATACTTTCAAGGTGATTTTTAAGTTGTGATTATGGACATGTTATTTAACAAAACATGTAATTGATAAAAATAACCATATATGTGTAAACATGATGTTTAGTAACTTAATGTCAATTTGACGTGACAAACAAACCAGTAAAATAACCTTACCTGTTGACACATTAACATCTAGTCTAGGGTATGTGAAATTTAAGACTATTTCTTTCAAAACATTTGCGCGACCATTTTCTTTCAAAAACTTTCTTAATGTGTTCCATCTTTTTGTTGACACTTCTTCTTTATTGTCTTGAACATCGGCAGACCACTCATCTGAAAGTCGTTCACGAAGATCTTTTAACTCAACCGGTAAAAATGACAGTAACTTATCTAGACGTTTTTTATTTCCGAATAAATTTTGACCATTTGCTGTACTGCAATAGGTTGTGAATCGATGCATTAAGATATCACAAGCTGCATCCACACAAGGATGAAAAATTGGCTCAATATTCCCGTGTGCATGTGAATCATAAGATTTTGAGAAGTTACCAGCAGTAAGTGTTGGCTAGTTGAAAAGTTTAATGAATATAAATCTATACAACTATCTCGAAGCTATTTCAACAATTTTTTAAATTCATATTATTCACTTCATTAAGAACAAATCGCACAATATATATTAAATGATATAAAATTAAAAAACACCACAAAATAAGTAAACAAAAATACCAACAGTGCGGAAAGTAATAAAGAGTGAAATTTTAGAAACTAGAGGTATTATCATAACATCCAGGTATAGTTGTAGCTACATTTAGGTTGAGGAAGTCAAGAAAGGTCAGTAGTGTGACATGAAGATGGAGATCCTTTAGCCAGTCTCGATCAATGTGGATGCTGGGATAACTTTAAGCATGTGAATAGCTACTAATTGTGTAGAGGACAACATCACTCCGAACAGAGACCCGATGTGTAATACGTCTATCTAAGGATATCACAATGTTGATCTGACAGTAAAAGACAAAATGTTCAACATGATGGTGCAAAAATGATGGCTTAATTGCACTATCTCTGCCTAGGTCGGTAGATCATGGCCACATAATTCAGTTATATGAAAAATAACTAAACATAGCTAAAGATAGAAACGAATTTTCCTTTACGTTCTTCATTAGTAGTAAGATAACATTTAAAAATGGGATATAACTTGATTTTTATTACCACCCCTAGTGCTCTTATTTCTGTTGCTGCATTACCAGCTCCACACTTTTTGTAAAATTGTTGCCACTTCTGTGAAACATCTACTGTTGCTTTAATAAACCAAGCTTGTTTGTTCTAAATAGAATCAAATACGTTTAGGGTTAAAATATTTTGGTTGGTCCACCAAGCCATGAATACTGAGAAGCCATTATTCTCTGTTTTAATTGCTGATCCTACGAACTGTAGCAATTACTTTTCAAATACGTAAAAAAAAATTACTGCGAACAGAAACAAGGATAGTTATAGATGAGAAAAAATGCAAACAACGATCTTTGATGCATTTTTGGTAAAATACATGTTTTAACAATTACTCAAAATCATCTATTTTCTGGCTATAAACCTTACGAGAAAATTCATGTGAAACAATCTGGTGTAAAAAGGCAAACGTAGAGAGGAAAGCTCGAGTACTTTTGTGCACGAAACAAGAGTATCAATTTGTCTCCTCAACATAACTCCTAATAAAGCAATTTTTGACATTCTGCATTGGCAACTGTTCACATGTAACAAAAAGCAAACACATAAAAATTTAACCAAGGTCAGTAGTGTTCGTGTTTCAACTTTGAAATCTGTAATACCAAGTTCAATAATAACTGACTGGTTTCTATACTAGTTAAGTGTGTCCTCAACCTTAATATTTTTCTTTATAATCATAATAAACGCCACTATTGAAAATACAAGTGTGGTGTTCATAAGCATTTTCTCTAAAGTCGAAGTCCACACAATAAGAATTAAAAATGTTAGAATTACCTTCTTACCGTTGCCCCCTCTAACCAAAGTTAAATACTCCGCGATAGCTGTACGCGAAGTTTGATCTAAATGCCGAGAGGAACGATCACATACCCAGCAATGAACCCCACGACGACCTGAATACACCCACAATAAATGCTGAAAGCCAAAGTCTTCTCTTAAAGCGCGGTCGATACAGAGGACTGCAGAACGAGCAAGTGGCCAGCATCGAAGACAAACAGGAGATCCAGAAGTACTTTGTTCACCACAACAATAACGAACTTCATCATAATCAGTCAAATCAATATCGAAAACTAATTCTTTCCATTCAGGCTAATTATAAAAGAAAATCATACGCATATGTATACAGTTTGCAGCAATACTTGTGCTCAACTCAACTCCATATGACCTGTACTTTCAAGTAATATAAGCGTTTAAAGTTTCGTGTTTCGGTAAAGACAGATATATAACTGCTAAATAAAACTATGTATTACTATTAAAAGCTGTGATAATTCTCATTTTTAGCCGACAGTTTATTATATAGTATAAGGAACTTGATTTTGATCACTGAAATACAGCCCAATACCTTCAATAAGTATCCCGATACATGTACAAGATTAGTGTTTTAGTTCAGAAACAAAGTTTCAAATTTAGGAACTGAACCTGTACCTGAAATATTATCTACAAAGGCGAATACTGGGTATCATGAAAAATATGAACTTTGTGTGCAGGCAGGAAAAATCTGTACACAAGTTATGAAACGGTCAAAATTTTTAGTTTTGCCTGCAGAATAAAAACTCAGTATTAATTTGATTGACTTAAACATTCTAGACTGCTATCTGTTGTCGTGATTCATGTATAAAAAACTTCATATCTAATTCTTGATACCAATATATACTTGATAACCATAAATATCGAATCAGACCAAGAATTATTAACACATTTATGCTAAGTGCAGGATTATGAGCCAATATCGAGATGGAAATTTATTTGAAAGGTCAGAAGTATCATGATGACATGAACTGAGAGCCATTAGTCATCAAAGCATATCGTCACGTAAAGTAAAACAAAGAATAACACGGCTAGCAGAAACTTTACTTTGCTCGCTTACTCAGAAAGGATAAACTGTGGTAAACGGGCACACAACTGTGTTATTACTAACAGCCAACACAAGATGAACTACGTTTATCACACGCCGAAGAGAATTACAGTCATTAAACGCAAGTGTCTCTGTCTAGTTTTCATTCATAACTTACAAATACATACTGTAGACTACACAGGTAGAATTACGAAATAACCTGTCAGCTTATTAAGCCAGTCAGTCAGTTACAACGTAGGACCAGGCACAGATATGCATCGATCCAAGTTACCATGCCTCATTAGCACAACAAGATCAACACCAAATTCATAGAAGTAGTTAATTCAATGGTGGTAATATATAAAAGAAAAATTGAATATAACGATATAGTATAGGAAGAAAGATATGAAGCAATTCTAATCTCATAGTTTAAGGGAAGACAAAGAGTGTGTACACCTACGCCATTGTGATCGATTCTGAGCCATGTCACACAGAGTCTCCAACCATTGGTTACGATAAGCACGCGGACCCCAACCAAGTAGTCTGCTCAGACAAGAAGTTAGTGACTTCAAGCACTGATGCCACGTTTCGGTTTGGCCGCCCCTAAATCTCTTCCAGCCATCCCCAACACTAGCCAGAATTGCGCGTCGTGGTAACCAGTGTTCAGGCATACGTAATACGTGGCCCAACCATCTCAAATGATGACGATTCCCAACCTAATCAAGTGATTTACCGTCATTCCCTAATACCCTGTGTCTAACTTCACTATTACTTACCCGGTGATCCCAGCAGATGCGAGCAATATCTTTAAGGCATCTGTGGTCAAATACTAGTAACTTACGAGTATCCTTTACTCTTAATGGCCACGTTTCGCAGCCATAAATCAGAACAGAACTGGGCGAGACTAAAGAACATGGACGAGCCAATCAGAAGCTTTCGCGGCGCTAAGTTCGGTACCTGACGCTTACGTGCGGTCGGTTTACAACGGATTTTAGAGAAAACATGATAATTAAGCGTCTACAAAATAAGTTATCATAAGATTTTGGCGCAAAATTCAATTATACATTTGGATAGAGTTGTGGCATTAGAGCTGATGTCAGTTCGTGATGAAAACCCTAAGTATAATTCCTAACCTTAACCATGAACTGTAAATCATAAGTTGAATTCTTCACACGGGTTTATAACCCTCATTCAGTCTTAGTTATTACGTTGACACTCTCAGATTCACTCTAGCGTCGCTCAAATGTCGTCCATAATTCATAGTCTCATCTTTAACCCTAAACCGTAACCCTAATTTTAAACCCTAAACCATACCAACATACCGACAACACTGAAACTATGTGGTCGAGGCTGAAAGAATTTTCGGGACTTTATCATGGTTCCAGAGGTCGACTACTATGGAGCCACAGGGATGAGTTCCTGTATCAGATGCACTATGATTTTAGAACTTCTGAACCTATATCTGACCTTGATAAGTTTTTGATTCATGTAAAAGAACAGTATCCCCTTTAATTTTTGAGTCTTATATATTTTTACTGTATGCTAACTGTCTTCTGATTGGCTAATATTTCTCAAGGTCATTTAAGATTCGCTCAAAGGTCGTCCATGTCCTTTAGTCTCGCCCAGAACTGTCGAGCAGTATACTCGTCCCTTAATTGGCAGACTCAAACCGCTGGCTTAATAAGCCAACAGTTGGAGTGTCCTGGTGGTTGTCCTTCGTCAAAGTAAATGTCAACCCTTGTTTTTTCCTCAGAAAAAAATTATTATTTGATTTGCTTTCAGTAAAAATAAACTTGCGACATGAAGCATGAGATTACTATGGTTTAAAAAAAAGTTATTCATGTATCTATCTAATGCAAGCTACATATGTGAAAAAAGTCCACTACAACCACCACGACGTAACAGCCTACTAAAAGCAAGAATTTCCGACTAAATGATAGTGACAAATCGAATTGACCGGCAATGTTTTTTTCGGAATGATATGACTAAGTGACTGTTTTACGAACCTCAGTATACCGAGAACTCTAAGTCGACACAGGAAACTGTTACAAATAAGTCGTAAACAACTTAACCTGACGGACTACAGACACTAGCTATCTTGGAACAATATGGTTCTACAAGACAGCTAAATGATATAATCAACAAAGCACTGAGAAAGCTCACCTTGAGTGAAGAAGATAGAATTGAACGGTGAAGCCTCGGAGCATTTGAGTAAACTGCCCCAATATCAATCTTAATAGGACATAACTTGACTAGCTCCTTCCTAAGGTCCGCCGATGAGTCAAAACTCTGATATCGAAGATAGATATCACCGTTTAGTGTGAAGCTAAATTCTCTTTTAGAAAGCTACCAAGATTATATAACACAATTTACTCCACTACTCCGAGAATTATATGTAAGCCACTGTGTAAGTAGATTGCACGGGAAAAGTCGCCGATAGTAGACCCTCAGTAACTCCTCTGAAAAAGTAGATTCCATTTGAATCAAATCTTGGACTTGATTTTCCCAAGGTCAAATGGTTCAAATGGTTGTGGACGGAATAAAAGAAGCTTTCGCTTAACGGTCTTCCGTGTCTAGTAGCAGTGGATCACCAAAACCTCCAGGCAAAAACCTAGGTAAATGAACGATAATAGAGGGAAAAAAGGAATTTGGTAAATCATAATAATATGTTATCCTTAGTCCTTAAGAATAAGTCAAGTTTCCTCTTAAATGACTCCTGGGAGGTCGCTTGGACTAGCTCACTCGGCAGCGAATTCCAGTACTTGACAACTCTAACGGAGTAGAAGTTGTGTCTGCAGTCTGTTCTGCTATGTAGGGTCTCCAATTTCTGGGTGTTACCCCTTAGGTTAGTGTTGTGACTAAGTTTGAGTGGATATTTAAGGGGATGACCAGAACTGTTAAGGATACTGTAAGTCATAAGAAGGTCATCCCTCAAACGCCTGTACTCTAACGGGTAAAGGTTAAGTGATTGGAGGCGCTCCCCGTAAGGTTTGAATTTGAGTCCCCAAACTGATTTCGTGGCTCGATGTTGGATACATTGCAAAGTGTCCTTATCCTATTGGAGGGAGGGAGGAAATACTATGTTTCCGTACTCTAAATTGGGACGAATAAAACTGTTGAAGAATATGTGGAAACTGGTCAAAAATGCACTTCAATGTTACCAGTGCAAGGTTTGCTTGAAATGCGTTTTTGTCACAGTTAGCGTACGATTTCAAGTCGTAAGGTACCAACACTCCGAAATCTTTTTCGACGGGAGTTACCTAAGTTATAACTATAGTCTGCAACATGTCTCAGATGAACTACTTTACATTTTGAAGTGTTGAAGGTAAGTCCGTTGTCGTCTGCCCAACTTTGAAGTCGAGTCAGATCCTCCTGAAGTGCTAGTTTATCCTTTTGGATACGTATATCTTTCCAAAGTTTCACATCATCAGCAAAAAGCAATAGGTCCGATAAAACTTTTTGTGGAAGATCGTTGATGTAAATCAAGAAGAGAAGAGGTCCTGGTATTGAGCCCTGGGGGACCCCACTAGGACATCCAATAGCCTGAAAGAGAGTGAAGTTAACCCTGGCCTTAAAATGTCGGTTTTCTAGATATGAAGTGAGCCAGTTAATCAGAGAGGGTTTGATACCCAATCGTCTAAGCTTATTGGCAAGACATATATGATTGACCCTAACAACGAACTACCAGGTCAGCGGTCAGGTCCACTTCAGAAAGTCCTGTGAAGGTGCAGGTGAAGCTTTCATCAGTGTAGTTGATGTGGGTCGGTTGAAATGTCCGAGAGTATTGTTCAGTCAAAAGATTAACACCATCACCGTCGTTATTGTTCGGACCATTTGGACGTAGCAGTTGGGAAACTCCAGTTTTGTTTTGTCGAAGAGAAGCTGCATAACGAAATAAGCTTTTCGGATTGGAGACAAATTTATCGATAAGCTTGGTTTGGTACTGAAGCCTGTCTTCTCTTATTGCCTTTGTGCATATGTTCCTTGAATGTTTGTATTGCCTGTACGCGCCATTGTTATCAGTTCGTTGGTATTCTGCCCAACGGTGCCTTTTGCTGCTTAGCAAACGACGAGTGCGGTTCTTAATGATTGTAGGTTGCTTGTAGCTTTTGGGGACCGTTTGAGGAGCTGAATGCTTCGTAGTACATAAGAGTGTGTGCAGTAAGAAATACCAATGAGCATCCACTTTCAGTTGAGGGTGAACATCCCAATCCACCTGTTGTAGATTGTCATGTAAAGCTAACACATTTAACCGTTTTAAATTCCAGCGCCTGTTGTTGGTGGGATATCTTAGCTCAGTTTTGCTCACAAAACTGAAGGATAAAACGGCGTGATCACTTTTCCTCTAGGGAGTCAGAATTTAGAGGTCGTCGGCTAGTAATTCTTTATTCGTGAATACCCAGTCTAAGCGTGACAGCGTCTGACTGTTTCTCCAACGAGTTGCCGACTTCACAATTTCGAATAATCCCAGATCCTCAAAGAGGTTGAAGAACCGAGCTTCAGTTGTGTTGTTACCTCCAATATACGTATGTTCCGCGAAACTAACTCTAGGAAGATTGGAATCCCCTAGAATCAGGATATGAGCGAATCCGAGAAGTGTTCATCGTACTCGATGTCAGCAGTGGGCTTCCTGTAGATGACCCCAACTAGACACACCGAGGTGGTAGACAATCTGACTGAGCACCATACGGATTCGTCAAGATTAATAAATTCTTGGTTGTGAACTTGGTGTACCTTCAGGCATGATCGTATGTATAAGATTACTTCACTCCCAATTCCTGTTTTTCTATCGCTGCGAAAAAAAGACATCCCGGGTAGTAAGCTGGGGCAGAACCACAGTTAACTATTAAGTCGGGTGAAACTCAAAAAAAGTAATCTATCGAACGTATAGCTCAGAATAGACTGTCTAGATCAGGAATGGTACTTTTGCTGCGTAAGAACACAGCATAAGTTTGAGGAATGTAAATCACGTTAAGACTAAACTTCCCGTTCGATTGGATATCAACCCACTTTTAGTCTCATCACTAAACGACGTATCGAACAGGAGGAAATTGATCCACCTTTTAAGTCCCCTTACCATGTAATTTATTGCGCTATCGGTTCAAAACTCTGGAAATAAGCAGAGCAGTTGTTATACACATGCAAACTTTGGTTTTGACATCAGAAATGCCTGTTGAAACCATACACATGGTTTAGCAACACTCTGTTGAAAACTTTTCCTGATGCCAATATTAGTCTGACGCCTAAGTATGTCTCACATTTGCTGAGATCTTTCGTCGGCATCTTGATGAGGCATCCTTCTTTACAGTCCGTCAGCACATGTTCTTCCTCCCACATCTTTCTGAAAAGAATGTGAAACATATTTGCAGTTGCCTCTATGTCTGACTTCATTCCTTCAGCTGACATATTGTCAGGTCCTGTTGCTTTCGCACTCTTGATTTGTCTGATGGCCATCCTGATTTCTTCGATTGCTGGCGACGTGAAATCTACAGGAATGTCTGTATGTGTTGCTCCGGTGTTTGGTGTGTTTAGTAAGACTGGTCTATCCAACAAAACTCACCATTCAAACTCATGTTTCTAATTTTTGTGCTGGATTAACTATTCTACTAAAACAACCTTTAACATGCTAACTCGGACTTTTACATGTAAACTGTGTGGCAGGCATCGAATGATGAAAAAAAAGGAAAAAACAGACTGTAAAGGATATGGTCGCTATTTTACTCAACACTGTACTCTCTATATGCACTCTCTGTTCTTCCTCATTCCAACCTTGACTTCCCTCCTTCATTGGAACCTACTCCACCTTGATAAATATCACAACTCATTGTTCGTTATTACTGCATTCTCTCCTCTGGAGCCCCTAATCACAGTTCACTCTTGCAACATGAGCTACTATCAATTTAATCTAATAATTTATCGTACCTCCGTCTGTTCCACTAATAAATGTTGAGCATTGGTTATCGTTCATATCCAAGGCCTTGCTGCTCCCCGGTTTCTTTATCTTTTCTTTTCTCTTCAGAATCTTGCTCTGAGGGTGAAGCTATGTAACTTCTGACATCTGGAACAAGCTCGAAGAACGCGCTTTCCCAAGGTCATAGTTCGAACAAGGCGCTCCACAAGCCTACTTTATAACAACTATAAACTTAAAAAGCTGCATTACATAAATACTTAGCACGACCGAAACCCTAATACACTTTTTGTCGAGATTGGATCTGGTATGTAACGTGGACGCCATGCACCTTTGGAAACTATTCTTATGAAAACACATTATATCTGAACGAATGAACTGCTATCAACTCATAGATTTTAATTACTAAACATCCCTGCTTGGGATACATATACTGTGAACCAGTATATGTCGTAAATTGTAGATCATGCCTGTAAAAATGGCATGTACCTGCTATTGCAGAAATATATTATTATTATATGAGCTTATAAGCAGGTTATTGGAGCTTCAATGAACAATAAGCTTATTCTTTAACTCAAGATATAAATGTACAGAAATTCATACAGTAGAGAAAGTATAACAATAGTTTAGAATTAAATGTTTATTTACAGGCACGACAAAAATTGTACTGAGTACGTTTCGTGAAACATATATTCGTATATCAAAGCTGCTTTCTGGTGTACAGAGAAAGATTGGTAGGCAGTAAAAGGGAAATTATTTTCGGGATACAATTATATACTTAATTCAAAGTCTGCAAAAATCTAACATTTAGTTTTTTTCTCTATTTTATTCAATGAATCGTTAGCTTCTGTTTATTTTATAGTTCATTATAATTTAAACGTAAACGTGTACCTCATTTTTCGACTCTTATGCCCTTGTTAGAAAATAACTGTCCTGTGATCTTCCTGGCCATGTTTTTATTCACATGTCTTTTCGGATTAATATGAATCAGGAATAAATCGGGTGGGTTAGAAAAATGATTCACATATGAATAACCATTTACTCACAGGTAATTTTCACCACCCTCTACAGAGGTTTCAATGACAGTGAGGTCCTAATTACAAGTGTCTGTTGCACCATGCAAAAGTAATATTTACTTCCGCTGTGATCCAAGCAGAAGTGAACGTAGGCAGTTACATCAATTGTTATTCAGCATGAAATGGTGGTAAATTCGTCCTTCATTTTGGTGATAGATCATTTTACCCTCTTTTAGGTTTATTGGTTTACCGGTTGAAATAATTGTTGTCATTTTTTCTATTTTGCACAGCGATGTGTTGATGGGTAACTCCCAAATTATTAGAATCCATCTGTATGGAGGCGCAAGTTGAACTAACTAAATGTTACTATGGATTATTTCGAATCCTAGTTGCGGTGAGACATCGGAACGACGCAATTATGAAGTCAAATTTTAATTGTGCAGAACAGAATAATATTAGGACTTATCACAAACAGAAACGTGTGACAAAGCGCACTTAACTATAAAATTTTTGTTGTGACTATAACGATAATTATCAATCCCCCTCACATTAGA